TTCCATGGCATGGCTCTCACCCGTGACAAAATGTGTTCTATGGTCAAAAGCTGGCAGACCATGATTGAAGCTCATGTCGATGTCAAGACTTATAGATGGTTATTTGTTTCATCTCTTCTGTGTTGGGTTTACTAAAAAATGCAACAATCAGATATAGAAGACCTCTTAGGCCTGGCATCAGCAGGTCTGCCAAATCTGGAAGAAGATGATGGAAATCATGACCCGGGAGGTGCAGACAAATGACTTGAAAGAAGTGGTCAATAAACTGATTCCAGACAGCATTGGAAAAGACATGGAAAACTTGTGCCAATCCATCTACCCTCTCCATGATGTCTTCGTCAGAAAAGTAAAAATGCTGAAGAAGCCCAAGTTTGAATTGGGAAATCACATGGAGCTTCATGGTGAAGGTAGTAGCTGTGGAAAAGCTACTGGGGATGAGATGGTGCCAAAGTTGAATGAGCTGATGGATATGAGCCACCAGTCCAAGAATCTGTTTAAAGTTCAGACTTTTAATAGTGACAAATAAAAAGTCCTATTTGTGACCAAAAAAAAAAATTGTTTTCAGACTCCTTTTAGAAAAGAATATATGAATGATATTCAAAACGGCCCTTTCTCAATTACCAGTAACATACTTCACACAATCCTAATGAATAACTGCAGCTTTCTTTGAGTTTTTAAAAGTTCCATGTTTGTTCTTGCTTTCATTTAAATGATAGATTTCAAGGCCACTAAGATGTCCACTTTTCTCACTGTCTAATGTTATATTGTATATATAGAATCCTTTCACTATTAACTAATTTTTTTTTAATGTTTTCCCCACAGTACAGTATGTGTTTGCTGGAGAGAGACAGAGAGAGGAAAGGTGAAAATCACCCCCTGGGGGGATAGTCATGACACAGCCTCTTCTCCTTCATTCTCCTCTCAGGATTTTGGGTACACATGTACATGCATCCAGCATGGTTTTCAAGTCACAGTGTTGGGGACTTGACAGGTTATGGGCCCATGGGGATTCGGTCCTTAACAACCATGTCACCTGCCGGTCTCAACTGAAACTTCTTTTAAATACAAAAGATATATTTTAAAAAATGTCAGTAGGAAGTATAAATTTTCAAAATTACCATGTAAGATTAATTTTAAGCTTTTACACTATGCACTACTGCAGATTAATATTTATGGAAAAAAAAAAGGGTTTTGGGGCCAACTTATAACTCAGTGGTTTTGTACCGGGCATAGAAAGCTGGGTCCCTAAAGACTGACTGGTTCAAATTTCGGCCCTGATAATGTGAGAAACCAAGCTAGCCACATGTGACTTGTGTGTCCCAAATCCTGACCAGGAGAAAAGGAGGAAAAGAAATTGAGGCATGCCTTGTTGGGAGGTGCTTTCCCTCTCTCTCTCTCTGGGGAGTGCACATCTCCTTTGGCAATGAAAAAAGAATGGCTTTCTGCCTTCAGGAAATTCAAAGGATAATACAACAAAAAATATTGAATGGATCCATATGAAACTGATATTTTTGTAGACGGAAAACATCCAAATATTAGCAATTCATATGATGCAATTTATGAAATGCATGTACACAGAGTTCCTGGTTGATAGCAGCAGAATAAATATTGTTTTAATTAAGTAGAGCTACATAGTCCACTGCATAAGGCACATGTAGCTACTGTACACTTGGCATTTTGCTAGTGTGACTGAAAAACTGAATTTAAAAATTGTTTAATTTAAATTTAAAGCTTATAATCTATTACTGAAAATGTTATAACTACACTTGTAACAATTCGGTAATTATTTGGGAATCAATTTTGCAAGGCAAAATTTTACAAAGTCTAAATGGAGATAAAGTATTTCTGATGAAAATATAGTGTCTAAGTTGAGATACACTGTAAGTCTAAAACACTAAATTTTAAAGATTTAGTATTAAAATTAAAATAGCTCATAGTTTTATAGTATTATATGTTGGCATAATATTTTGAAGCATTAGGTTAAGTTAAAATATATTATTAATTTTTTTTGAGAGAGATTTTTGCTATAGGGTGCATGCACTTGCCAGAAAGACAGAGAGTGACAGAGAGACAGAAAGCAAGAAATCACCCCCCAGGAGGGATGGCCACATCGCAATCCCTTCTCCTCCATTCTCCTCTCGGGATCTTGGGCACACATGCACATGCACCCGGTGAGAGTTTAAGCCACCGGGTCTGGGACGCAGACCATGATCGACTATGTGGGAGTCCAGAGACATAGCCATTACGCTAACTGCTGGTCCCTCCCCACCTCCTGGCATGAGTTTAAGCCACCAGGTCTGGGACTCGAACCACAGTTGACTACATAGGAGTCCAACGACACAGTCATTATGCCAACTGCTGATAGCTATTATTAAAAATTTTTTCCCTTGCTTGTTTTCACTTGTTATAGTATAGCTACTAATGTAATTCTATTGGAAAATTTTAGTTTGGATGCTTGTGAAATTACATGGAAAAACAGCACTGAGAATAACAGACTTTTTTTTTTTTTTTGGAGAGGTTTTTGCCATGGGGCGCGTGCGCTTGCCAGACACACAGAGAGAGAGACAGAGAGACAGAAAGCGAGAAATCACCCCCCAGGGGGGGATGGCCACGCCGCAGTCCCTTCTCCTCCATTCTCTCTCAGGATCTTGGGCATGCACGCACACGCACCTGGCATGAATTTTAAGCCACCAGGTTCGGGATGCGATCCGCGGTCGACTACATGGGAGTCCAGCAACATAGCCATTACGCTAACTGTTGGTCCCGAGAATAACAGACTTTTGAGAGGAATTTAACATTTAACTTCACATGGATAAAAAAATGAAAAAAATGGAAAAGAAAACATTACATATAAAAGTCATACAACCTTGTCATCATGCATGAAGGAATTGGGAGAGAGGATTAAGGACAGAGTACCGTTGAGAAAGAACCTTTTGTTCATCTAGTGTGAAGGAGGAAGTGCCAAGACCAGATGCCGGCCACAATGAGGCTACACAGAGTAGTACTAAGTGCTGAAGAAGGTTGAATGAGTATGGGAATGGGGATTCAGAGATGGGAACACTTGCAGAATAGGTAGGCTGTAACATAAACAAATCTGTAGAATGAGTAGATATGGGAGAAGAGAATGGGAGAGGAAACATCAAGAAGAATCCCAAGATTTCCAAATTTGGCAAATAAAGAAGAGGAAAACCAATGGGTGAGGTTGGAAATATAGTAAGAAACCACGTGTCTGGTTTATTCGGTATTCGAAATGACTGGAGGCCCTCCCTCTGCATTGACCTGCCAGGAGGCAACAAGAACTATTAGTCTATTGGTAAGATGTGTGAATCACTGATTTTGAATAAAATAAAATGAGAGACATTTCTAAAAGAATACACAGAAAGACAAGAACAAAATAAAAATTCTCATTAAGCACTATTGCTGATTTGTTATCAGGAGTAATTTTTAAATATTAACATGAGTACTATGAGCATTAATTATTTAATCTGATCAAATAATTGCACTTACATAAAAGTTCGGGGAAAAAAGAATTAGCCTAAATAGAACCAATATTCTTTTTATGGGGGGAATTGAAAAAAATATAATACAAACTGATTATCACTTTTATTCATTAATATTATAAACATTTAGTAATAAAATTTAAAATGCAAATCTTACAGAATTCTAACATAGGTCAGAGCTCTTCAACTGCAGGTAACACTTTTATAATGAATGACAGTGTCTTTATTATAAAATGCACAAATGTAAATAACCTACAATAAAATATATTTTTCTCTTCGTTTTTGAGGATGCTGAAACTTAAGTTATATAACTATATATCTGACTCTAAACTCAATTTAAGAACTGACATTAATAGGGATGAAGTCTTGGATAACCTGTTGACCTTTGTCTACGACATCTGGCAGAAATCCATGAAAACTACCGCATAAATGGATAGGAGAGGAATGAAATGCCTGTCCCATGGATTGGCATCTTAGATGCCCTCATGGAATATGAAGCATTACGGAGCTCCAGTTATATTCTTGGGACAGGCATTAAATTATTTCTGTATATTATACAGCAGCTCCTTTCACTTTTTGCAGAGTAGCAAATTTAGCTTCTTTGTACAGACTTAGAACTTATCCAAAGAATTCATCTTTTTACCTCATATTTCTTAGAAATTTAATGGGTGTATGTTGTTTTCCTATGCGTTTAGCTCAAGCAACATGTATCTCAATGTTAACTTTTTCTGTTTTAGATATAGTAAAAAAGGAAATTCTTTGAAGAAAGAAAGGGATTAAATTTTTTTTCCCTAGTGCTTTCTTGAAGGTCAGGGGCTTTAATCTATGAAAAAGTAGTGAGCAGTTACTTGTAACTTGTGTGAAGCAGCAGCCAGCCTTAAAGTAGTCCTTTCCGGCTAAAGGATAGAACAGACACTGCTGGTGTGATCGTTTGGGCTGCCTTTAGTTTCTTTTAATCAAATTGTAGATGACAGAATTTGCAAACTTGTTATGTGTTATTACTTGTACTGATATCATTTAAAAGTGAAACTCTTTATCATGAAAAAAAAAGAACTGACATAAAAACTATATTTTGCTTTAAATAATTTTTATCTAAAAAAACTGTAGTCACAGTTTTGAATGAAATTATGTGTTATGCCTTCTATTTCAAAGACTAAAAAAATTACATTTGCTATTTTTCTTGCAGTTAATTGTAGATATGTAAACCACTGTGAATCTTTGTTTAGAATATATGAGGGGAGAAGTTACTTTAAAAAAACAAACAAACTGGCCATTGTTCCATCTGTTTTTATTTAAGTGTTTTAGAGTTTGAGGATGGAATATAAAGTTACATTTTTATTAAAAGAAGAGATACATTTCAACTGTCTTACATATAACAACCTGGGATACAGATACTTAGTAGATTTTCTAGAAAAATAACTTGCTAAATTTAAACTATGTTTACATTAAAAAATTATTGTACTTTTTAACTTCAAATTAGAAAACAAACCCAAAACTTACATTCATGATTCCTCGGAAGCTTGAATTTTTTCAATAAGACCCTAACATTCACAAATAGGGAAAAAAAATCAAAATATTTATTTTTGATACAACCTCAACAGATTTTTTAAAACAAAATTTAATTAAGTTACAGATTTATACTAAAAGTATTATGAAAAAATTAACCCTCATAAATTTTCTGTTTTAGTAGCTGCTAAACTTATGTTTTAAAATAGCATATATGAAAAAGTATGATTAACAAAAACAAAAGACATTTGAAGTAACTTTAGGTGTTCCTAGTACTTCTTTGAAACTTATATAGAAAGGGCATAACCTTCTATATAGAATATAAATTGTTTTTCTGCGTATACTTTAATATATGATAGAAATACATTTCCAAATTTTATTAATTAAAATGGGATGAACTCTTAAAGTGTGAAATCCATATTAATTTATTTAAATATATTGAATATATAAGCATATTAATTACTTGGATTATATTTCCATTTAGTTTATGGTTAAGTACTATACCAAATGGGGGCTGGCAGGTGGTGTGGTGGTGAAGATGTGGTAGTCTGATATGGCTAACTGAGGTTCAAGTCCTGGACCTGGAAGCTTGCTTTCTCACTCTCCCTTTCTCTCTCTCTCTGGTCAAATTGAAGATGAATAATTTTTAATAAAATTACATAAATAATTCTTTAAAAAATACTACACAAAATGTGTTACAGCCTACAAAAATCAGAACAGAATGCACTTGCCCTGACATAAAGTAAAAATGGAAAGAACCTACATTAAGTATAAACAAAATATCAAATTGCAAGTTTTCAAAGGACCATATTTTTATCTTTAAATCAGCTAGCACAAAACAACTTGTATTAGTAAATGTTAATAAAGTGGATCAAAACAAAACAGCAAAATACTTGGTTAGTAAAAGCATTAAAAATGACAGACATACTCTCAAAAAAAAAAAAATGACAGACATATACTATTTTATTAACCCGTAAAAAAAAAAAGCATTAGAAACACAAGGTACATACTTCTAATTTTCTTGTTTTATTTTTTCCAAAAATTATCAGTTACAAATTATTTAAATAATATAGTGATTTGTTGGCATATGTATAAGTAGTGAATACAAAATGAATTGGCTTATTACTGAATTTTTCCATTTCTAGAGATTACCCTATGAATAGGTTCTTATGATCAAGGAAAAGTTTCTTCTTCAACAGAAATAACCATACATAGAGTTCTTCTCTCTCATTCCTAATCTGTAGTTCATGGGTCCACTGAATAGGAAAATTTTCTAAAATTGGATCAACATAGGCCAGTAGGGAAATTTTTTTTATTCTAATTTCTATGTCAACACAGGAAACAGAACATTTGATGTTTAAGAAATCTGCTTTTGGAAACAAACTTATCAAAGCACAGTAATTAAAGTGAACTGCATATTATTTTCAGGAATGTGAACCGGTAATTTTCTCTATGTTTTATGGTTGGATCTGTATACAATGAGAATCTAAACACTGATTTTTTTCTATTTAAAATATTAATGGGCCAGCAGGTGGTATGGTGGTTGAGGCAGCTAGATCCCACATGGCTCACTGCAAGGTTTCGGTCCTGAATTGGCTACTTGAAAAGCAGCACACATACATCAGGCACGTGTGCTTACATTCTCCAAATCCTGAACAGAGAAATGGAGAAGGGATTTTGGTGTGGCTATATCCCATGAAAGGAGTGTTTTCTTGCTTTCTCTCTCTTTCTCTTTCTTATCCTCAAGTGTATGTGGCCTCTAGCAAATTAAAAACAAAACCAAAAACACATGAACATTAAAATTGTTTTTCAATATAAGTATTACTCGATTTTGAGAATGAGATGAATATTGAAAAGAGTAAATATTTTACCTTTATATTTCCTGAATAATTTAATTAATTATAAATAAACTAATTAGAAAATAATAAAATATAATGATTTAATTGTAATAAAATAATTATTTAATTTTACTTATTATTATTTTTCTAATTTGACCAGAGAGAGACAGAGAAAGTGAGAAAGCAGGCCACCAGGTTCAGGACTCAAACATTGATCTGCCCTGTGAGAGTTCAGTGCCTTAATAATCACCATGCCACCTGCCAGCCCTAATCAAACTTCTTTAATCTTGCATAGCTGAGTGGGGATAAAGGCTAAATGTGTAACACACCCAGATGTTCCTTCGTGGAAGATCTTCATTAAAAAACCACTTACCAGCATATGTGCTTACAAAGTTCCCCTCCTTTCAGAAATGTGGAACAGTTACAAACATGAGGATTTCCAAGAAAAACCTTTAAAACAATAATGTATACTTAAAAAAAGGCACCAGTTGATTTTTAGAGTTAAAGCAAAACTAAGTTGGTATATAATTGGATTAAAGATATTTTAAAAGGTAATTTAGTTTTAGTGACTCCAAGAGGTTGAATAAAATCTAAGCTTTTGACACCAGCCTCTAATGTGATTTTTCACTTCATTCCTTGCTTTGGTTGATAACTTACGTTATCAATGAAGAAGGTTTTTGTAACCCACACTCAAGTGGGTAAAAAGAAATTCAATTTTTAAAACTAAAAAAAGAAAGGAAAATGAAAAAGGTAAAAAAGAAAAAAAACCCGATACATTTCTTACTGTAAGGAAATTTTGTCTTGGGACAGAGCATTTTAGCTCATTTTGGAATTTTGTTTAGTAAATTTGAATTGGTGAAGGTGCTGGACATGGTCAACCATGGCTCAAGTCCCAGAGCTGGTGACTTGCTTTCTCACTTTCCCTCTCTCTCTTTCTGGTGAGCGCATGTGCGCTATTAAGAATTTTTTTAAAAAATTAATAAAATTAAGTAATTCTTTAAGATTTTTTCATTTTATTGAAGAGGAGTAGTTCTACTCATCAACAGTATATTGGCAAACATGACTTATTAAATACACTAAGGGTTGTGAAAGGAACAAAGACGTCTATTTTAAATGGGCATAGATTGGTTAGTAAACTCAAAATTCATGGTACTAAATCAGCTTGCCAAGTCAGTTTCTGAGCGGTAGAGTGGTGCCTGATTATTCAGTAGTAAGGGCGGACTATGCAAATATAAGGTAACCATGGACCTTCAGCAATGTGTTAACTTTCCAAGGCGTCCCCACCGAAGTACTCCTTGAATAGGGCCACTTTACAGCTTCCCAATGAGGAAGGACTAAAAGGAAACCGATTTGATTCAGCAACTATTCACAGTATATAAGCAGGTCGTAGGATTTTCATTTCCTCTGATTAAAAGGCCGAGTGACAACTAACAACAGATGGAAGAATAACAAAACCCAGACCAATTATTCACGTAAAACTGACACTTTCAATCCTAAAAATCGAGGGCCCGCTATGTTACAAAAATCGGAGCACTGTGAGGTCCTGACCTCCAGCAAAGAGAGCGACTAGATTTCCCTCTGCAACGAACACGTCTGCAGCGTCTGGGGCACGCGCAGGAATGAGCCTGTGGGGTGAGGCGGGCCTGGGGGTAGCCGGGGTCCGCGGGTCGGGAGAGAAATTTCAGGGGGGCGGTAGTTACTCGGAAATCCCTGTTTTCCGGCTCCTCCTCCCGCAGCAGGAAGCCGGTGGGGCCCATCTCCCTCAGGAGGTAGATGCTGCTGCCCAGCGCCTGGTCTTGGAGCCCGCGGAGGCCCTCGCTCAGGTGTCTTCGCCTTTCGTAGCCCGGGCGAAGCATCCTGCCTGGGTGCGGGCGAAGGCAGCCGCTTAGTGAAGCTCTCTGAGGTGCCAGCCGGTCTCCATGACGACGGCGTGCTGGTCGGTTGCCTTGGCGACGGCGTGATCTCCGCGAGGTTCAGGCCTGCCTCGCGCCGAGCTAAAGCTGGCGACAAAGGTGCGGGCGGGTGTGGACTCCGCAGCTCCCACCAGCCTCTGCTCGTTTCCGAAGAGACGCTCCTCTGGCGAGCGTTTCTCTGCCAATAGGCAGACCTAAGAGCTGGAGGCCAAGAGCCTAGCTGTCAAATCCTTGCCTGGTTCCTCGAAGGTGGGGCAGGTTAAATCTGCGTCAATAGGACAGCCACAAACCTCGTTACAATCTGTGCTCTGGATGCTAAAGTTATCCCATAGTGACTCATCATCTTGATCAGAAAGCCCAGGGTGATTGTTGGCATTCAACATTGTTTGGCAAACATTTTCCGATCTCTCACAATGTGCATAAGAGACTGAGGGAGTCTGTGTGGGAAGATTTAGAAGACAGGGAATCTAACCACTGGGAAGCTAGGTCCTTGCGGGGTGTGTGTGTGTGTGTGTGTGTGTGTGTGTGTGTGTGTGTGTTGGATGGGGTTGGATTAAAGTGAGGAGAATGTCTCTAAATTGCATATTTGGATATGGGTGGGTGTTGGAAGTGGTGGCACAGAATCCATAATGTCTATGACCTCTAAGTCTACAGATCTCTAGCCTATGGAATAAGATTTTCTAGGTATGTGATCTTGATTAAATACTTCAGATTGTCTCTGAACTTTGTTACGATGTTATGAGGGGAGAGAGCTGGAATAAATTATGAGCCAACATTTTAAGCCATAATTATTGAAAAAGATGCCCTATTACTGGAGAATCTTTCTCAGAAATGGAAAACAGAAGATAGCACCACTTGTTGGCCCAATAACACAAATGAGGGTAGTGGATATTTATCCTATTTTATTGTACAAGTTATAACTAGACTAACTCAGGAGCAGGAGAAGAGAAAATGGCAAAGCTACGACATGACAGCTAACAGAAATGGCAGGTTTCACATGTGAGATGTCTGGATGAACACTACACCAACCCTAGGGCTACCGTTTTACTAAATCTAATCTAATCTTTTAATACTATAACAACTAAGATACATACTACTGAGTTGTTGGGAAATTCATGATGCATTTTTGTATAGAAAAACAGAAAAAATACATCATACATCATGACTTTTCTGAAAACCCTATGGTATACTCCCAAATTTAGCATCAGTTTAATGGTGCTGGATGTTAAAGTATAATATTATACATTAGGGGAAAGACATTATATTGCGAGTAAAAGAAACTAAATTGAATTCACTTATGTACTAACAATTATAATTTGAAAGATTCAAAATAAATGAATGACAATCCATATTTTCTATATGACAGGATGGGTTGGGGTTCAGTTCAAGGCATTTTATTCAACCATCATTTTTTTCTCTCTGCATATGTGTGTTTAGGTATAATATACATGTACATATAGTTATTTTAGAATTAAAAAGTGGGGGCTGGCAGGTGATGTGGTGGTTAAGGTGCTGGACTCCCACATGGCCAACCACAGTTCGAGTTTTGAGCTTGGTGGCTTGCTTTCTCCCTTTCCCTTTCTTGCTCTCTCTCTCTGTCACCCTCTGATCAAATTAGAAATAAAAATAAATAAAATTTAAAAATGGAATTAAAAAGTGAATATAAGAAGTAATTTAAAAATTATAAAATATTAAACTCTAATATTTAACTTGTAATTAGGTAGTGATACTTGTTCCATGATCAACACCATTTTTACAAAGCCCACATGCTTAAGACACAATAGTCAGGTAATAAAATACAGGTTCATAAATTACATTTTGGAGGATGGTAAGAATATTCATGCTTTCATGCAATTTAAAAAGAGAAAGCACAGATTGTAAGACAGAACTTCAGCCTGATTGTAAGACATTTGTTTTTATATCTGTCAATTAAGACTTTAAAAACATGTTTATAGCCAGGTGACTACCCCATATGCTTGCTTCATCTCTTAAGAAAGTGACAGAGCTACTAATATTCTACAAATATTAAATTAGAATATTAATTTTCTCCTTTAAGTTCACAGTATTCCTCTTCATGGTATATTTTGAGACATATTGTAGGGAAGAGGGAGGTAGTTACTGCTAGAAACAAAGATTTCTGACTTTCATGAACTGATAAACTTGAGTTTCAAGGATTATTTTTTCGCTTCTTTAGCAATACAATCAGTCATAAAAGGTATCTATTGATAGAGCACTGTTTCTACAATTTAATATATGAAATGTATGTCAGAGTAGTAGACTTTGGGACTATATGGAAGAGGATGCCCTGGGAAAAGTAACAGAAATCACTGGACAAAGCCTGCTGCCAGTCTACATGGGTATGCATGTGTTGAGGTGAGGGTGGGAGTATGTGGAGGGATGGATTAAGCATTCAGTTGGGTGATGACAGAGAGAAACAGGCTGCTAAGAAACTTTAGATTTTTGCATGTCTAATACTTGGGCATATATCCAGAGTTGTCTGTGGAAGACAGGAAAATGAATTGGATATAAAGTCCTAATTCTAAAGGATTAGGAAAGTGCAATGATTATGAGTTTGTGTTTACCTCTACAGAATGGATACAAAAGAAAGGCAAAATATTGGTATCTAATAACAAAGATACAGAATTCATTGACTGGAAGCGAATAGAACCAAGAGCTTCAGTGGGAGTTGCCAATATGAACTTTTTTTTTTTTTTTTTTTTTTTAGATTTTTGCTATAGGGCGCATGTGCTCACTTGAAAGACAGAAGGAGGCACATGTGCTCACTGGAAAGACAGAAGGAGACAGAGAGACAGACAGAAAGAAATCACCCACTGCAATCCCTTATCCTCCATTCTCTTGGGATTTGGGGCACACATGCACTCACACCTGGCATGAGTTTTAAGCCACTGGGTCTGGGGCTCAAACTGCAATCTATGTAGAAGTCCAGTGAGTAACCATTATGCCATCTGCTGGTCTCAGCCAATATTAACATACAAAAAGCTAAATAGGACTCAGTGGTCTCCAATAGGAGCAGATTGTCAACAGTGCAGAAGTGACCAGCAAGAATCTAGGGGATGTTGTGTGAATTCAAGGTGCTCATCTTCTGCTTACAGACACAAGATTACATAAGCTTCTTCAGTTTATTCATATGCCTGTATACTTTTTTGGGACAAATTGGAAATGGGTAGACATTTGAGATTCTATATAATTTATCAATAATAAGATGGCATTACCATTCTCTTTACCATTCCTATTTAAAAAAGAGTATTTATGGGGCCAGCAGATGGCATAATGGTTACGTTGCTGGACTCCTGCATGGTCGACCATGGTTTGAATCCCAGACCCAAGGGTTTAAAACTCACTCTGGGCATGTACGCATGTATGCCTAAAATCTTGAGAGGATAATGGAGGAGAAGGGATTACGGATGGCCATCCCCCCTGGGTGGGGGATAACTTCTTGATTTCTGTCTCACTGGTGAGCACACATGCCCTATAGCAAAAATCTCTCTTAAAAAATAAATAAAAAAGAGCATTTACTCCAGAAAAGTGTGCATGCTTACCCCAAAATCCCAAGAAGATAATGGAGGAGATAGGATTGTGGCATGACCATCCTTTCATTTCTCACTGTTCCTCTCTCCCACTCTCTCTCTCTTGTCTGCCTCTTGCTGGGGGGAGTGCATGCACCTTATATTAAAAACTAAAAAAAAAAAAAAAAAAGGCAGAACTTTCGCTAGTTGGGGCAGAAGAAGAAACAAATGGAAGCATGATTCTCTTGCTGGCTTTGGCTATGGAATGAGTGACATGACAAGAATTTGGGGGTCTCTGAAAAGAGAGAGAGAGAGAGACCTCTGGCTGACAGCCAGCAAGGACATGGGGTTCCAAAAGATATAGAAATGAAAAACTGGGTTTCCTAGCAACCTGAGTGAATTAGAAAGCAAATTCTTCCCCAGAACTTCCACATATGAGCACAACCTGGCTGAAATATTGGCTTTAAACTTGTCAGACACTGAGCAGCGACTGAGCTGAGCCTGGGTGCATTTCGGACCTACATATCACTGAGTTAGTAGATGGGTATTCTTTTAAAGTCACTTAGTTTATAGTAATTTCTTAGGTAGCAATAGAAAATGAATATGGGACCACTGGCAAATGAATAATTGCAACAACCAGTAGATGAACAAACGAATGGAAAAGCATTGACTGACGAAAGGTTGAGTAAGTGAATGTATGTACCTGGAAGTTTACCTCTGTTATTTCCCAGCATAGGGTTGAACAATAGAATCACTCTGGCTAATTTTAAGTATAAAGGTATCTAACAAAAATTATCTATATTTTGTACCTTACAGGGTGTCTATAAGGGTTTGATTTCGTCTCACCCAAATGTGAGACACTCAAGAAGAAAGTTGTTTGCTCAGGACCTAAGATTTTTCTGGCAAACATCTCTCTGAGTTGTTCAAGAAGCATAGACTAGACATCACACCTCATTGTCTTTGCTGCAGGAAAAACAAAGGACTTCATAACTGTATTGCTAGTTGGGTTACATGTACTTAAGGACGTCTCTTCTGCCCTTAAAGTCTTGTCAAAAATTAGTTGTGCTTTTACAATCTAGAGGGGAAAACAAAGAAAGAAAGAAAGAAAGAAAGAAAGAAAGAAAGAAAGAAAGAAAGAAAGAAAGAAAGAAAGAAAAAAGCTAGTAAATATGGAAAGTTTGTATTAGTAAATTGGAGAGCTGCAGAAATGTGGGTAGGAGGTTGGAGAGGGTACAATGGTTTGACCACCCATGAGGGCAAGAAGTTAAAAACAAACGATCAGAATAGGAAGAGTCTAATAGCTTTAGGAATGATTGCTCAATAAAAACTTTCAATAGGAAATTTGAAAGTTGAAGTTAAAGATTCAGATATATAGCAATTTGGGAGCAAGATGCAAACTATTAAAAGGAAAGAA